GAAAACAAATGAGGAAAATATACACACAGATAATAATAATAGCCTACAATTTATCTATCACCTCTAGATTTGAAAAGTGCTTTTCATATCGTATATTTGCATTCCTTATGATGGGTTGGGATCTGGGTCCCAGAAAGGAAAAACCCTGGACTTTCCCACATGGCCAAATCTCTGGTGTTCCCCTGAGGCTATAATCCCATCAACTAGCCTTCCATTGTGGACCTCCCTATGGCCCCAGGTCATTTCTCCATTCTCTCTTGGCCACTGTGGTCCAGGTCCCTGGAATTCTATTATCTCATAGACTGCTTGGTCACTCCTGGATCCCTCCCACAGTCTTTCTGTATATAAGGTCCATCTTGTCTCCATTAAGGTGCTTAGATTCTTATAATCTAGCCACTGTTCAGATTCCTAAAATCTAGCCATTGCTTAGATTCTTATAATCTAGCCAAGGCTGGATTCTTGTAATCTAGCCACAGCTCAGATTCCTAAAATCTAGCCACTGCTTACCCATGTTCAGACTCCTTAAGAGTCTGCCCAATATGACAATATTCTAATAAACCTTGTCTTTGGCTGAAAAAAGGCTTGGGTCGAATTCTTTCAGTCAGGATTTTGGGGTCCCAGGACCCCTGAACCCCTAAACTGCATCATTTTGGTGGCCCATATAGGGAAACTGCCTAGCCCCAAGTTCTTCTCTAGCCAAGACTGGAAGGTATGTAAGCCTCCTTTCCCTCCCTTTCTTGCTCTGCAGTTGGGGTAGCTCTCCAAGCACCATGGTTTAGAGGTACTTTTCTGGCAGACAGTTATGAGGCTGTCTCGCACTCAGCCTGATGCTCTCAGGCTCTCAGTCCACTGGACGATTCAAGGCCATGGACCTGGGTACACCTTCTGCATCATAGAGGACAAGGATGGATGCCCTATCTGGAAGTGTATCTGTTAATTCCCTTGGAGCTAGGGAATTGGGGAAAACTGCAGTTGCTTTTTGGCTCCCTGAGGCTTACTTACTCCCTTCCCTCTGCACCTCTGAATCCTCCTTCATGGAGGTTACAGGGAAAGTTAGAGCAGCTAAAAATATCTTGGCAGATTCTGGAGGTTTTGTTATTGATCATTAAGGAGTTTAGAACTCCTCTTTATAACCCAGGTCACTCTTTTCTCCCACTCCCTTCACTTGAGTCAAGAGGATATCTGTTAACCCCTCTCATAGGAAAAGATAGTTTCACCCTTTACCCCTCACTTTTGATTTTGCCCTCCCCCACCTGGGGAAAAGGAAGGAGGGGCAGCAGCTACAGCATGGACCCCACTGGCAATGGCCTTGGGCTCTGGGGCAACCTTTGCCTGGAAGCATCACCCAGATTCAGCACATTCTGCTCATGGTAATGAAGCTAGCCTTCAAACTTGGGTAAGCACGCTCTTTTAAATTTGTAGTTCTAACTGTTAAGATGAAATGTTGATTCTCTGTGTAAAGTAATTGGGAAGTGCATTTAACAAAACTGAAAGTCACCTGATTGGTAATGGGTTTGTTTCAAGTTTCAAATTGGTGAAGTTAACTTTCTGTATCAGTTATGTCAAGCAACTTTTCATCATTTGGTTACCACTAAAATAATTTACTATTGTTGGTTATTGTTTTAATGGGTAAACTAGCCAAAAAGTTTGTTTGGATTATGTATGGCTTGCTGAGAATTTGCAAGTGTATAGAAATCTGTAATGATTGGCTTTTTACACCAGGACAAATTTAAGTTTGAGATGTAAATCTGGAAAAGTTTTTCCTAAGTTGTGATTAGTAAAACTTGCTGTTTGAGGTAAAAGCTCATAGGATTTTATTTTGAGTTGTCTGATGGGTCATAATCCATTGATAATCAATAATCCACCATCTGAGAGAAATGCCACAAGCTACTCAGAGAAATGCCACAAGGTACTCAGAGAAGGTGATACTGTTGGGAAGTCAGCATCAGGAAAAGCTGAGAGAACAATTTTAGCCTCAGTCTAAGGTGGGATCCTCCTGGCTCAGTTTCCCCATTATGTTCCTTTGAAAGGGAATGTTACCCACCTGGTTATTCCTGAGTCTGGCTGTGAGGTAGATTTGATACCGCATGGTTGGAAAACTGAATCCAAACAGAGCTAAGGATGTTTTATCCTCTCAAAGTTGGGCCCTAAATCTAGTTCCTGTTTTATATCTGGAACCTGCAGTTTTTTTCTGTCAGATCTGTGTCTTCCGTACTACAGGCCATTCACCTACAGTTGGGAGCAAACAGCAAGTACCAGCCAATGTCCCTGCATTGTTCCCTGGATGCAGCCTGTGCTTGGTTCCAGTCAACCTCCTCTATGAGACCCCCTCAAAGCAGGGACAGCTCTATACCCCTTGCCAGCAGGAAGCAGTTTCAGAAACTGAGACCTTCTCCCTTTACTCCAAAAGAATTTGGGTCCCATTTATTTGAGGGGGGAATGATGGGGTTGGGATCTGGGTCCCAGAAAGGAAAAACCCTGGACTTTCCCACATTGCCAAATCTTTGGTGTTCCCCTGAGGCTATAATCCCATCAACTGGCCTTTCATTGTGGACTTCCCTATGGCCCCAGGCCATTTCTCCATTCTCTCTTGGCCACGTGGTCCAGGTCCCTGGAATTCTATTACCTCATAGACTACTTGGCCACTCCTAGATCCCTCCCATAGTCTTTCTGTATATAAGGTCCATCTTGTCTCCATTAAGGTGCTTAGATTCTTATAATCTAGCCACTGTTCAGATTCCTAAAATCTAGCCATGGCTTAGATTCTTAAAATCTAGCCACTGCTCAGATTCTTATAACCTAGTCAATAGCTTACTAATGTTCAGACTCCTTAAGAGTCTGCCCAGTATGACGATATTCCAATAAACCTTGTCTTTGGCTGAAAGAAGGCTTGGGTCGAATTCTTTCAGTCAGGACCCGCATGTTGTGATTTTGGGGTCCCAGGACCCCTGAACCCCTAAACTGCATCACTTACAGCAACACCATGAAATAGGTACTATTATTATTCCCCATTTTATATATGGAGAAACTGAGGCTTATAGAGATCCTTGACATAACTTGCCCAGCTAATAAGTATCTAAGGCAGAATTTGAACTTCTAACTCCAGGTTTAGCATTCTAGTAAACCACCTGATTGCCTATATATAGTAATGCAATGGGCTACCCATTCAGCTATAGGTCATAGTTTGGACAAGAGGCATTCTGGAATACCTACAGATTCTGGTAACTGTAAAATATAGTACAAATAAAAGGTATAATTGAGAGTCTTTTCAAGACCATTCCTATTTCTATCTAATTATTTCCCTTTAAAAGACAAGGTGATGAAAACTCAGTCTCTTTTCTGTCATATACTCACTTTATGTCATAGTAGAACAATGTTTTCCATATTACTCTCTTGTCTCCTATTAATATAATTCTTTTCCTTCTGAAGTTCTGTTTATAACCTCTGCTCTGGAGACATAATATCAACTCAATCAAGGACACAAATGGAACTCTTTGAGGTTAGTCCCACCCTCCTCTTCCCAACTACACCTTCTGCTTCATGAATACTCTGAACAGAGAATGTCATTCATCATCTTTCATACTGAGTTCTATGATTTTTTTTTTTAGGGATGGGGGTGAGAGGCATGGAGAAGAGAGAGGGATTATGGGGTGGGAGAAACAGTTGTTACAAGAAAATAAGAGCGTCTCACCCTACACTGTATTTATTCCTGTGCCCAGAAGGGTTGTGTCTAGCCCTGTCTTCTGTGTCTCATTAGTTGAACCCTTTCCCACCCACCCCCACTCTACTCCATTGAATTAAAACATGAAATTTCTTCAGGGTGATGTTTATGAAATGCATGTGTCAGTAGCAAATTAAACTTCCTGAAGAGGGAACTCAAAATCAATCTGGAGTGTACTGAGGGACTTGATATCCCTGAATGGTCAGAGTCTGGGAAATCTTGGTGTCTACAAGTGCTATACAGGGTGTCCCAAAAGTCTTAGTTCAGGTTCACTCTGTATACTAAAAAATGCATTTTAAAATATAATGGTTATAGAACACAGTTATTCTGGTTCTCAAATATTTTTGCTGACCAGAAAAGATAGCAAAAATATTTTTGCTATCTTTGAATCACTCATTCTCAAAGAATTAGAATATAATAAACACAGCCTACTAAATCCGAACTGAATGTGAAGGTATAGGATTGGGGCCCAATGAGAGGCTTAGAGATGAACCAGCCCAAATTCTTCATTGAGCAGATGAGGAAACTGATTCCTAGTCTGGTGATATTAATTAGGGAATCTTGTATTTAGTTGTTAGTACATATATTAGTATAGTTAGTGTATATATTGGAGTCAGAGGACCTTGGTTCAAATCCTGACTCTGACACTACCTATGTGACATTGAACCTCCCAAAGACTCAGTTTACTTATCTGTAAAATGCAGTGGTTGAGATAGATGACTTCTAAGGCCTCTTCCAGCTCTCAATCAGTAATCCTATGATATATACATATTGTCTCCCAAGTATTGGTATCCCAACACTTAGTACACTACCTATCTCGTAGTAGGTGCCTAATAAATACTTGTTGATTGATTGACTAATTATAGGATTAGAGCGGAAGGATCCTCAAAGACTAGTCCAATTCCCTCATTTTACAGATGAGTAAATGAGGCCCAAGAGGCAACCCCCCCCCCCCCCAAACCCCCCAGGCAATAAATGCTAGACTCTGGATTCAAACCCAGGGCCTCTGACTTCAAATTCAGTATATTTTCCATATACTGTGCAACCTCCTATAATCTAACCTTTCTTTGATGACTCAGAGGGCATTTCAGGATCCACTGAGGGCTCAGGCGCTTCATTATGAAACTCACTTGTTGTACAAGATTATTGATCAGTAGTATGGGACATCAGACCGGATCTGGGCTGAGCTTGTTTCCTTATGCTAATCTATTTATGTGCCATTTGTCTCTTTAAAAAAGAGAGAGAGAGAAAGAGAAAGAATGTGAAAAAAATCCAATCATTTAAGCTTTTTTTATTTTTGTTTCTCAGATAAACAGAATGTTTACTGTACCCACTAAGAGTAGATTTTTAAAAGTACAGCTGAATAAAATGAGGATGGAACATTAAAAAAGAAAGGACTCCTCTGTTGAATAAGGTCCCCTTGTCTCAAGGGACTGATTTTCCATTCCATCCTTCATTAGTCACCATGTGAGCCTTCTGGGCAAATCTGGAAAGGGTTCCATCTGGAAAAGCAGAGAACACCATGTCTTACAACTGAATGAAGAATCTATTCCTGGAACACTCATCAAAATGCTGGCGAACATTTGGCTCCATTCATTCATGATTCTACAGGCTAATGCTGATGGGCTATATAATGAGCCAGCTGTCTCCCTCAGTTATGTCCTCATCATCTGGAGGGGCTATGCTATGTTCAGCTGCATGTGGGCACACACATTTGCAATTACTTATAATTAGCAAGTATGTTTGCCATCCTTCCTCTTCAGGGGACCAAGATCTGAGCATCTCACACACATGTGGCTTCCATTGAGCCAGCTGTGGTAGGGGTAAAAGGTCAGGATCTTCTCTGGCTTATCTATGGTGTGTCTTAGCTTACCTGCCATGTATTTCATGAATCAAGAGGGAAATAATACCTCATATTAAAAAAGATTAATGCTAACCAAGAGGGGGAATATTTCAAGTGCCTAAGGAAAAGAGATATCATAAACAGCGTGAAGGCAAAAAAAAAAATTTTTTTAAGACTATAAATAATTACTTTACAGAATCCTCTTTAAAGTTCTCAAACATTACATATGTATAAGTTAAGCACAAAATGTTAGGCAAATAAAAGAAGGAAATGTGAAACAGCTGGAAATGCTGAAGACTCCTCTTTCTCAAAAAAAAATCAAATGATAAAAAGTGTTGCAGACAAAGTTTGTTTTCTAGACACTGTTATTTTTAGGCAATGTTAATTAATAGCATGGAGAATTAGTGCAAATTAAGTAATTAGAAATGAAGCTTGCAGCAAGAACTGACTTGTGTTTACAGAAGCATGATTAAATGATTAAAACTGATCCTTTACATTACTTGTTTGATGACAGTGAGAAAAGGAAGAATTCTCAGCATCAAAACAGGGAAATCACAGTACTCAGTTAATGACTAGTTCAAGAAGTAGAATGGTGATAAGAGAAAAGGACTCACAGGAAGAATGATCTTAGAATTAAAATAAGCAAAGTTTTATTTTTACTTCCCCAGATTTCCCATTGTCTTATTGAGAAAATTATTTTCTTCGACATTCAGATCATCCAAATAGGAACAACACTAAGGGTTTGTGTCATTTCCCAATGTAGGCCAAACAGTTACCAAGGGCTGTGGGAGGTGGTGGCATTGATAACATGGCAATGCCCATGCCTGTGAGTCAGTGCTTCTCAAACTTTTTGGTCTCAGGCCCCCTTTACCCTCTTAAAAATTACTGAGGATCCCTCTTCCTCCCTCCCCCGCCTCGCCACCCCGAAGAGCATTTGTTTATGTGGACTATATCTGTCAACATTTGTGTATTAGAAATTTAAATGTCTTAGTATTATTATTAAGAAAATAGCTTAGACTTTGTAGACCCCCTGAAAGAGTCTTAGGGACCCCCAGCATTCCTTGGCCCCCACTTTGAGATCTGCTGCTCTATGCTGTTTTTGCAACAGCTTCCAAATCTTGATAGGTACTCATCCAAGGGAAGTTGCTTCTGATGATATTAGCTCTGCCCAAATTTATCCAAACCTCTTCTCAAAAATTCCTCTCAGAATCTCTAGCTTCCTTCAAGGTTAAACTCAAGGTCTATTTCCTATTCCTGCTCTTCTCCTTCCACCACTACCCCCAGCTCTAGGTATTAGTTCAATTTCCTTACTCAGATTATGTACTTCTTTACCTATAAAATGAGGATAATAACACCTGCATCATAGGGTTGTTGTTGAGGGTCAAGTGAGGAAAAAATGCATAAAGTGGTTTGCAAGCCTTACAATGCTTCATTGTTCAGTTGTTTTTCAGTCTTGCCTGACTCTTTGGAGTTTTCTTGGCAGATACTAGAGTAGTTTTCAATTTCCTTCTCCAGCTCATTTTGCAGGTGAGGAAACTCAGACAAAGAGGGTGAAGTGACTTGCCCAGGGCTATACAGCTAATAAGTGTCTGAGGCTAGATTTGAACTGAGGAAGATGAGTCTTCCTGACTCCAGGCATGGTACTCTGTCCACTAACACACCTAATTACCCCTAAGAGCTCCTCATATAAAGCCCTTAATTGAGTTGTATTTCATTTCCAGGCTGCCCTAGAGGTACTTGCCAGTAGTTTAGGGAGATGAATTACCTTCATCAAGGAAGGATGGTGGAAAGTGGGTTTGTGAAGGTCATTCCGTCTTCAGTCAATTGTAGTATCATAGGTTCTAGACTCCAAAGAGACTGTCTAGCCCTCCCCCATCTCATTTTATAAAAGGAGAAACTAAAGCCTAGGGGAAAGAAGGGAATTGTTCAGAGCCATCCAGTTAGTAAGCAAAGGAACTGGTATTTGAACCCAGAACATTGGGCTATAAAGCCAGTATTTTTTCCACTATTCCCCATCAGGTCCCTTAGACTGGGAGACAAAAAGGCCTAATCCAATATGAAGCAAGACCATTTAAGAAGCATGAGAGTCTGAGGTGCCAGGAAGAGAGAAATTACCATTGGTATTTCTTGAGGTAGGAGTGCCAAAGATCGGGGGGGGGGGGGAGCATCAATGTGTATACACACACAAACACACATACACACGTGTATATATGTGTAATGTGTACACATAACACATACATATAAACATGTGTATTGTGTACATATCTACATGTATATGTGAGCATATATGTATACATATGTACATATAAGGATGTGTGTATATATGCACACATACATAAACAAACCTATAGATACATACAGGTTTTTTTGTTTTGTTTTTTTGGTGAGGCAATTGGGATTAAGTGACTTTGCCCAGAGTCACACAGCTAGTAAGTGTTATGTGTGTGAAGCAGGATTTGAACTCAGGCCCTCCTGACTCTAGAGGCAGTTCTCTATCCACTATGCCACCTAGCTGCCCCCCATACATACAGTCTTTAAACAGCAGTACAATCAGGCACCCACTTATCAGGTTATTAGGCTTCTGGCAACCTCAACCATCTAAAGACAGCCAAGAATCTGAAACAATCAACAAAGTCCTTTGAATAGCTCTAGTAACTTTTATAGAGGCTTTATTCTGAAGGAGAGACACTCAGGCCCTCACTCCAAGTCTATTATGCAATCTAAATAAGCTTGGCTATCTGGAGAGTAGAAGCAACAAATTGGGATGGGGACAGAAATGGACACCACCAGCAGCTACAAGTTGCAGGCCTGGCAGAGAGGGTTGAAATGAAGAAGCAAAACCAAGAACTAGCAAAGTAACGTCATCTGGGGCTGTATGACTTCGAAGAAACTCTAGGGAATTAGCTGAGGCAGTTAAGTGACTTGTTCTGCCAGGGCCACAAAACTGGTGAATAGGAGAGAGAGCCTAGCCCCCCTGATTCAAGGCCTAGTATTTTCCCCACTGCACCACTGCTGACTCTCTGAGAAAGTCACATAGATGAAGTTTTACAGTATGTAGAAAAAAGGGGACCTCAGCATCAACAAGATTTGAATGAGAGGAATTTGATAACATAGATGGCATTAAATGTAAATCAAAGGGAGAAAACATTTGGCTCCTTTGATTCTATCATAGGATGAAAAAAATAGCTCTTCTGCGTGAATTCTCCATTTCTTTTAATAATATCTTCATCCTCTTAATCCACCAGGCCCAAAACTTCTGAAGTCATCTTTGGTTCCTACCTCTCACTCATGTGCCATATCCACTCTAAAGTCATGTCTACCTCCACAGTATTTCTCATATCCTTTCTGCCACAAGTGTAGGTGTATACTGTACCTCTGTCACCGCAGTCACCTCATAGATTGTCTTCCTTATTTCCAAACTCAGCCCTTTCCATCCCATCCTCTACACAGTTTTCAGGCTAGTCTGGAATTTCTACACAATGGAGACATCTCAGAGTTGGAAAAGACCACAAAGGCTACCCAATCCTCCTTGTTTGTGAAAATAAATCCCTTCTATGACATCTGTGACAATGGTCCATCAGGCCTCCCCTAGCTTATGCTCCCCTGAAACACAGTTATAACTCTGTCACTCCCCTTCTCAAAATCCTTCAATGGCTTCATTTTGTGGGATAAATGCTTAATTTTTCATAGTCTGATATTCAAGGCCCCCCCCATCAGAAGTCAACCTCTCCTTCCAGCCTTATCTGCTACTTGTCCTCTTTGCATACTCAACATTTGAGTCAAAGCAGGCTAATGGCTGTTCTCCAAACACACATGACAGTCTTTCCATTGTGTAGCTTCATTCCTGCTCTTCTTTCTATATTTGGAATACCCTCCTCCTTGCCACCCCTATCTCTACCTGCCAAAATAACACCCTCCTTCCCCAGCACAATTCAGATGCCGCCGACTCCATGAAGATTTCCTCTTTGTCCCCCAAACAGATGTGTTTCCTCCCTTCTCTGAACTGCCATAAAACCTCCTTTATAGCATTTATCACATTTTAATTTCTATTACAGTTACTGTTGCGCTGGTCTTATCCTCCTAGTTTAAAAGTTGTTAGGATGGCAGGGACAATGATACAATTCATCAATGTTTCTTTGTAGTAGGTACTCAACAAACATTTCCTAGAATGAATTAATAAATGTCAGAATCTTCATTTACTGTGGATTGAGTCACCAGTATGATTATGCTAGGCTTGATGGAAGGGAGTATTTCTATATTAACAATAGTGATAGGAACGTCCGTCCCCCCACCCCCATAATTGCTAATTTAATAGTAAATATCTATATAGTGCTTTAAGATTTGCAAAACACTTTGAATTTGTTATTTGTTTGATCATCACAACAACACTATGAGGTGAGTGCTACTTTTAGACCCATTTTACATGAGGAAAGTAAAGCAGGCAGCAGTTAAATTGACTTGTCCATGTCACAAAACTAGAAAGTATCTGAGGCCAGATTTGAACTCAGTTCTTGCTGATTCTAACTTCAACACTGTATCTACTGTGCCATGCTACTTCATCTCTGAATAAATATATGGTATGATTTCCTGAACCTCAAGATTGTAGGGTTTTTTTCTTCATATCTGTTTGTTTTTAAAAAGCAACGTGTAATTTCACCT